ATATTTAAAAAAATTATTAACATACATAGTATTGTTTACTACTAATACAATTTAATAAAAAATGTTAGTCAACTTTTATTAATTTATCAAAATCAAAATGAATAATTAATTTTATTTTATCCACATTGAATAATTTTTTTATTCTAAAGTTATAATTAAAAAAAAGTATTAAAATATTAATCTACTCTCATATTTAATTCTCATGAAAAATTTATTTTTTCTCCAAGAAAGTGGAAGTTAAAATTTGAAAACAAGTTTGATTTTAGAAACACGTGGTCGAACGACACACGCGCGCACTTTCGAAGTTATGATGAATTTATAAAGAAAAAATTTCTTATTCGCATAAAAAAATAAAAGAAAAAGAAAAATAAACAAGAAAATTTATAAAAATAAAGTAAAAATAATAAAAAAAATAAAAAAAATTATAATAAATAATAAAAAATAATAAATAACAATTTATATTTATAAATTACAATAAATAAATATTATAATTTTACAGATTTTTTTCAAGAATGTTTAGAAAAATAATTTCATTGCAATTGCAAATTCAGAAATATAGCGATTTAAAAAAAATATTATTGACAAAAAAATATTAAAATCGATATAATTGGATACGTAACAAAAAAAAAAAAAATTGTAAACGAGTTAGAATAAAAAGTAGCAACATATTAACAATACTTTTTCAATTACCTTCTTTTTTTATTGATTTTAAATTGGCTTTTAACTATTTTAACTAGACGGGAAAAAAATTTGTTTATTACGCTCGAGTAGACTTCATTAGAGATACAGACGAAAGAAAAAGTATATTTTTATGAATTCAATATCTCTTTTTTCATCATTAAAAATTATTTGTTTCGAAAAAGATTTAGAATAAATTCTTTAAAGAAATAATATATAATTTAATTTAATAATTAACTAACTTAATAATAATTTAGATATAATTTATAAAACAAAAAAGGCGAAATACGACTCGTATTTAGGCCATTTTATTAAAAAATAATTCAAAAATACAGTTTTAGCAAAAAATATATAATAATTGAAATAAAAATTAAAAATACAATAAATAAAATAGCAAATAAAAAAATAGAAAATAATAATCGTCAAAAAATGGTAAATTAAAAAATAATAATTTATGTATATAATATAGTATATAATATATAATATATATATATAGTATATAGTATATAATATAGTAAATAAATAAAAAATATGATAATCTCCCAATAATAAATATAAATAACAATTTTTAAATAATAAATAATAATTTGTATTACACAAAATTTTCAAATCAGGAATTTTTCTTTTCTTAATTTCAATTAAATGAAAAATACGAATTACAAATAATATTAAATTGATTAATTCGTAGAATATTAAATTTTCTCGAAAAGAATAAATAAATATAGAAGTTATTTTCTTGTTATACAAATTGACACTTTTCGCATAAAAGCCAATAAACTTTGTATACAGAAAAACTTCGTGGGTGGTCCTTATGTTACATAATTTGAAATAAATTTTTTGATAGAAAAATAGTTGCGAATAGATGAGAAAATATTGCTCAATTTTTAGACGTGTTCATTTATTGGCGTAATATTCGCTAGATTTTTTTTTTCATTTCTCCTCCTCTCATTTTTTTTTCTTTTTAAAAAGTTACTTCATCGAGTTCGAGGTTGCCTTATATGTATAGTAGACCAGACAATAATAATGATTTATCCCCCCAAAAAAAGTATATGACGAAATTTTTCAAATTTCAATCTCAATGAAACTTGTCCTTTAATTAATTTTTCGGTAAATTTTTTTTTAAAATTAATTAAAGTGATTTTCGAGAAGAAAATAATTTTGGAAAATTAATTTTTGGACAAAAAATAATTTGGAAAAAGTAATTTTTGGGGAAAAATCATTCGGGAAAAATTAGTTTGGGAGAAATAATTTTCGGGGAAAAAAGTAATTTTAGGAAAAATTTCAATTTGGAAAAAGGTATTTTAGGGGAAAAAAAAATTTGGGGAAAGTAATTTTCAGGGAGAAAATAAATTCTTTTTCTTCTCGTCCCATTTTTATTTCAACAAAAAAATAAGTTGTAATGAGAATGAAAAAAAATTTAGTGCATTAATTTTTGTTCATAATTGGGTAAAATAAAAATTAAACAAAAAGATAAAAATATCAAGCATTCACAACATCAAATATGTCAAAAAGAAAAAATATTTGTTTGTCTTTACATTAGTAATAACTATGATAATCGCAATTACCAAGAAAATATTATTTTTTTCCCCCTTTTTTTCTACAAACAATTCATTCAGAATTGATTTTAGTTAGCAATTCAGATGACGCGGGCAAAATATTACAAAAAAAAAGTAAGAAGCTATGTATTTTATTTTCATCTGACATCATAAAGACACTTTATGTCACACACGTCACACACGTGGAACTTGACAGCAAAAAAAAAAAAAACGAAAAAAGAAAAATTACAATACATCATGCAAATTTTTTTAATTTCAATAATATGCCCTAAATTCCTACACTGACTGCACAACGTTTCATAAGAGGCACGAAAATAATTTAGCATTTAACTTTCCCAATTTTTTTCCTCCTTTCCCTTATAATAATAATTTCTCGTTTACAACACAATTTAGTTTACTTTTATCTCATCATTAATTAAATTTTAATGAAACAATAGTTATAAGAAAATGAAGTCATTTAACATAAATTTTATTGGTATTAATTTTTTTTTTGCTATAAACATTCTTTTTCCTTCTTTCTAGAATCTTAATTGTTTTTCTCCTCAGAATTTTATACAAAAAGACGAAAAGAAAAAAAAATTGTTTACGACTTTTATGAGAAAGAAAATAGATATTTTATTAGAACGAACGATATTTATTAACAAAGAGAAGAGAAATAATTATGAGTGCAAAAAATTGTTATTAATAAAATTTTTATTTATTTACATTAGGTATTAGACGAAGGAGAAAAGAGTAATAATTTTAATAATAAAGTAAATAATTATTAGGCCTTCAGATTATTTATTTATCTAATAATAATAATAATCATTATTACTCCAATTTTTAATCATTTTTGTTACTAATATTATTTTTATGTAGTGTTTCATTATTATTATTTATATTATTATCTCAAAGAAGTAAAATTATTAAGTTAATAATAAAAATATAATTTAATAATAAAAATATATTTTAATAATTATACAACTATAATTCTATGGAATATATATATTATTGTTGTTGTTATTATTAATAATTATCATTATCATTATTATACTAATAAATAATAGTAAAATCAATAACAATAAAAATAATTGCTACTAAAAATAGAATAAAACGAAAAAATTGTTAATTATGATGAGAGATAGTTGTAATAATATGATGTTAAAATGAAGATTAATTAATAAGATAATTAGAATTTAATTGCACTTGATTAATTGATTGTAGTTAATTATAGTAATAATTATATTGTTGCGGTAATTTTTTCTTTAAATATTATTTACTCAGTGTTTGGTCATCGCAAGAGGACTATATTCTTTCGAAATAAAACTTTCAATTTTCATTTTTCCTGTGAGAAGGAGAATGAATTAGTTTTTTTTCACAATATTCGCATCAAGTGAAAACCTGATTCTCCTTTTTCCCGCGTTCAAATCACACTTCCACATGTACGCGCAATTATATATTACAACACGCGTGTTTTACTTTTAATTTCTGTCGATAATAATTTATAAAATATACTTTATTATTAATTGTTGCATAAATAAATAAATAAAAAAGTTTAAATTTAATTACAAGTATTTGTCGTATTTTTTACTTTATTTTTTTTTGTTGTAAATCGATCAATTACAGTATTTTTTTTATTATAATTATTGTTTTAGTGCGAAAAGTGAATTAAATAAATTTTTATTTATAATAAGTAATTTGATAATTAATATAAATATAATAAATAATTAATAATTATGATTATTACTATATTAATTATATTATTATCATAATTACAATTATTTATTTCAATATAAACGAGATTAGGTATTATATTTATTATTTATTAGTATATTAATTTCATTATTATATTCATAACAGAATAATAATAATAATTTTATAACTTAAATTTATAAGTTTATAATTATTTTTAATTACAAAAAATAAATTAAATTTACACAGTAAATTCCTTACATTTTCCAAACGATTGACAATGAATAAAAATCGAAATTTAGAATTCCATTAAAATTTGGTTAAAAATCGGAAGAAATGATACTTTCTCATATAATAGAATACGAATGAATGAATAAAATCGTACGATATTATATAATATCGTGACTCAAAAGTTAGAAAGTGAAAATACGATGTTGTTTGATTAGTTTTATCACAGCAGATCAATAATAAAATATTATATAAATTCTTTGACTAGAACTTTTTTTTTTACACAATCGATAATATGTAAAATAGATAATTTATGTAAAAGACACAATTTTCAATGAAAAAAGAGGGGAAAAAAATTTTTTACATTATGCGCGACAAGTTCAAGAAGAGATCCTCAATGGGGTTAAGGTTATTGTTAGTAAAAAGTGTGAATAAAACAATAAAAAGGTCTCCATTAGACGGTCAAAAAAAATGTTAATAATTACTTCCGTAATTCTTTATATATATATATGTATACATGAAATATTTTATTTAAACAGAAATCTAAATAAATTTTATTTATAAACTAAAAATAAAAAAGAGAATAATTCTAAATAAATTTATTTATGAAATAAAAGTTTAAAAATGAAAAATCTGAATAATTGCTTCCTCATGGAAAAAGTATTTATTTGTAAAATAAAAATAGAAAATTTGAATAAATTTGTTTATGAACTAAAATTAAAAAAAGAAAATATTTATGAAATAAAAATATAAACAAAAGATTTGAATAAATAATTTAAAATTATATTTTTTTTGTTTGATCTTTACCGCAAATTTTTTCTTAACTAATTTTTCTTTTATTTTCTCGCTGAAAAAAAAGGAGCAGAAATGGATCCGACAACAAATAATCCAGTAGCCCCGGTACCATCATTGGAACTGAAAACAAGAAGGGCTCAGTTTCAAACTCAAGCTTCAACAGTTGATACGAGAAGAAGGCATGCGGTTTGTGTTCGTAGAGCTTTCAAGAAATATGGACCGAAAAAAAATCCAAATGTTATATTGGATGGTCTCAACATGACAGTGCCAAAAGGAACAATGTTAGTTTTCTTATTTATATTTATATGTACAAAAAAAAAATTAAAAACTAATAATTTCTTTCTTTTTAACTACTAAAAACAATTTTTTTTCGTCCAAAATTTATGAAGTAATAATTTTTTATTATTAATATTAAACGGGACAAAAAACAGCTCAAACTTGAATTTTTCTTCAATAATTATTAATCGATGTTTAAAAATACAAGAATTTTTTATTATTAATGAAAGTAAAAAAAATGTCAGTTTTTTTTAATTTGTATGATAAAAATTCACAATCTAAAAAAATTTGTTCGCAACTAAAAGTAAATTTTTTTTTAGTAAAAAAATATGCTACCTTCGAAATGGCGAAAAATAAATTTTTTATTTTTTAATAAAAAATGAAAGCCTTTTTTTGTTTAAAAATGTTTAAAAATGAACAATTCTTTTATTATCAATATGAGACGAAAGAAATAATTTTTTTTTCGACAGAATTTTTAGTTTTTTGTAAATTATTATTCGGTGTTTACAAAAAAATGAATTGTTTATTATAGTAAATAAAATAAAAAATAGTTCATTTCAATTGCTCTTTTCTATTTGGATCTCGATGTGTAAGAATAAGCAATTTATTTATTGTTTATTTATTATTTTACTTATAACAATAAAAGTGAAAGAAATCTTTATACTGAATTAATAAAACATAATTTTGTATTCTTGTCAGTTAATTAATTAGTCAACAAAAAAATTAGGTTTATTAACAAATTAACAAAATTACTATTGTTATTATCAAAATTAATCGATGACTAAAATTAAACAATTCTCTTAATATTATTTTTTTTTTAAATTATGTTTATTAACAAATTAACAAAATAATTATTATAATTATCAAAATTAATCGATGTTTAAAATTAAACAATTCTTTTATTATTAATAATAAGGCAAAATTTTTATCGCCATTTTTTATTCATTTAATCGATGTTTAAAAATCATTAATTACTTAGTAACGATAATAAATTTTAAAAAATAATTTTTATAATTGTTAATCGATGTTTAGAAATTAACAATTCATTATTATTTAACAAAAGTCAAAAAAAATTTTACACTAAATTTCTAAATTAAGCAGAAATTGTTTTTTTAATTTGTAGTACCTAATAAATTATTTAAAAAATAGATTACTTTTGTAATTATTAATTAATTGATGTTTAAAATCAAACAATTTCTATTTTTTACAGTTTAAATAAACAATTAATTTATTATTAATGGAAGTAAAAAAAAATTTTATTTTAAATTTATACTAAATCAAGCAGAAAATAATTTTTTATTTTAAATTTTTATTATTTGAATAAGGAGCCAAAAAGCAAATTTCTTTCTATAAATTATTATTATAATTATTAATTAATCGACATTATTTTAATGAATTGATTAATAATTTTAAAAAGTTTAAAATAAACATAATTATTCTTTTATTATCAATTATTATCAAGAAAATAATGATTTATTTGAAAAATTTTGTCTTCAGTTTTGCTAATTATTAATCGATAATTAATTGTTTACTTATTTATTATATAATCATTTACTATTAATAAAAAATGAGTGAAAAAAATAAATTTTTACTAAGTGGAAAAAAATTTGTTTCAACTATTTTTTTTTTGTGATTATCAATCGATATTTAAAAATAAAATCTTTTTCTTCAGATACGGCCTTTTAGGTGCAAGCGGTTGTGGAAAAACAACATTACTCTCGTGCATTGTTGGTCGAAGACGTTTGAATTCGGGTGAAATCTGGGTACTGGGTGGTCGACCCGGCTCGAAAGGCTCCGGAGTTCCAGGGCCACGAATCGGTTACATGCCACAAGAAATTGCACTTTATGGGGAATTTTCCATAAGAGAAACATTTATCTACTTCGGCTGGATTGCTGGAATGACGACAGAGCAAGTCGATAGTAAATTAGATTTCTTATTAAAGGTAATTTATATAGTATTGTTTTTCATTTTATTTCCTTCTTTTTTTCTACTTATTCTCATATTTTTTATTTTGCAATTTTTCCACTTATATCTAATTTATATCTATTTCGCAACTTTTTAAATCTACAAGCGTTTCAATCTTCCAAAATTCAAAATTTTTTTTCCAAACAAAAAAATTAAAAATAAATTAATAGTAATTCATTTTAAATAATTAATAATAGATTTAGATTTATTTCTCCATGAAAGACAAAAACATTTGGAATTTACATATTTTTTTATTCTATAATTAATTAATTAATATTTAATTAATTTATTATTATTTTTTCCAATTAATTATTTCTTATTTTTCTTTTATTATTTATTATTATTTTATTTATTTATTTATTTATTTATAAACAGGACACACCTAATATTATTTTATTAGTTGTTGTACATAGTCCATGACTTTCAGCTGTGAACGTGTTATTTATTATTATTTAATTAATTCATTAAAATAATTTTAGGAAAAAAATCACAAAAAGTCCAAATAATTTGGTCAATTAAAATTCAATTTAATTTTTAAGAATAATTTCTCTATTGTAAAAAATTTTTCTATTTGCTCACTTCTATAAAAAAGTCAAGAAATAAAAATTTATACATATAAAGAGAACAAATTTTCAGTTGCATTGTCTTGATAATTAATCTCTTTTCTATAAATATCTTGATTAAAAAAAAAGAAACTTCATTGTTTACGAAATTATTTGTACTTTATTGCAACAAAGGAAACTCAATATGGTTTTAATCTGTCCCAATTGGAAACTTATTTCCCCCATCGTTGAATTAATTATGAAATTATTATTACTATTATTATAATTATTTTTATTATTATTATTTAATTTTTTTTATTTATTTACTTAAGCAATATATACGAGTTTACAAAAATAAAAAATTATTCAAAATAAATAAAAATATTAAATAAAATAAAATTATAATAATAAAGCAAAAGTAAAAATATAAAATATAAGAAAAAAAATATTATTATCAGATACTATTAATTAAGTTAATTCAAATTAAAGTACCCATTATTGTTATTTCGGAAGATTTTACAAAAAATAACCGTTTTTTTCAACGTAAAAAACAGGTTTTACAAGTTCAAAGAAATTTGTTTTTTTCCCAAAAAAAAAAAAAATAGAACAAACCGCAGTCCTTTGTCTCAAGAATTATAAATTCCCCCAAAATGAGATTAAGTTATTCTGAGGTCAGTGCACTTGAAACTAAAGATTCATGAAAGTGCATCAAGTTGAAAGATCTTTTTAAAATTTACTGCATTCAACATTAACATTATAAGTATGAAAATTCCTCAAAAAAAAAAAGATTATAATAAATAAACTACATGCCTTCTTTTACGAGTGTACATCCTTTAAAAAGCAAGACCGGTTTTTCGACTATAAAAATTTAAAGAAGCAAACTTTTTGGTTTTGTGCTGCGTGGTTTAAATGAAAGGAAAAACACTGGTTTTTTTCCTCTCTTAATTATAATAATAATAATATCTGTAACGAGCATCAGTAAAACTGAATTAAATTCTACAACTCGTTAAAAGTAATTTATATCTTGAATCCATGTACATATATATACAATGAAACATTTCTTGCACGAAACATTTTTGTTGTAACTTTATTGAAACTTAAAATGTGAGGTTTTTTTTCTTTTTATTGGCCTTTGCAATATATCTACTCTACTATGACCCTGAAAACTTTCGTTACGCGTTACAAAATAATTACAACAGAGGAAATAACTTTCTATATCTGAATTCATAGTCTTGGAAATTTTGTTCTTTCGAGATATTTTTATAGATTTCTCTATTTTTTCAAGTATTTATTTTCCGGCAAATTTCCATATAAATTGTCAATTTTCCATTTTCTACGTTTAAATAAATTTTTTATTTTTATTCTTTTTGAACGAATTTAATTTTTTTTGTAATTTATTTTTTGTTTAGTAATTTATTATTGAATTTGTTTAACTAAATTTATCATTTATATTATCATTAATTTATTAATATTATACTATTTAATTAATATTCGAAATTTAATTCACTATTTTTAATTTTTACTAATGCGATTGATAAATTGTCCATTTCCATTCTTTTGGACCGAATTTTATTTTTAGTAAATTATTTTTCACTCGAATTTTTTGAACTGAATTTATCAGCGCAATTGATAAATTTTCCATTTTTATTCTTTTCAACGGAATTTTCTTTCCTTTAGTAAATTAATTTTTATTCAAATTTTGTAACGGAATTCGTCTTTAAGACGATATATTATGACTAATTTATTAATTATAGCAATTAATTATCACTTTATTATTAGCATTTCAAATTTAATTCACTATTTTCAATTTTTTATTCGTCGCGATTAATAAAATTTCCATTTCCTATTATTTTTAGACCGTTTTTTCTTTGCTTTAGTAATAGATTATTTTTTATTCAAATACGAAATATTACTGTTAATTTATTAATTAACAAATAATTAAAATTTGGTTATTATTTAAAATTTAATTCACTCTTTTTATTTTTTATTACCGCTTTTGATTTCGTAAATATTTCATTTTTATCTTTTTGAATCGAATTTTATTTTTAGAAATTTATTTTCTATTACAATTTTGTAACCGAATTCATCTTCACAGAATATAATTACATAATTTTAATTATTATTTAAAATTTAATTTACTATTTTTAAATTAATACTTTTTATTAGCACTTAAAAATATTGATAAATTTTATTAATTTCTTTTCGAAAGAATTTTATTTCCTAAGACAATTTCTCGTTTTATTCAAATTAAAATATTTTTTTTCAACATTTTCTTTGCTAAGATTATTTTTTTACGATATTTGGTTAATATTTTATTATTACCAATCAAAAGTGCTTCCGATTCAAGTAGTTTTCGATTAAATTTTTTTTTAGAATAATTTTCATTGTTAATCATTAATATTTTCTGCTGTTAAAAATTTAAATAGTTTTCGATCGAAATATTTTTTTTTTGACAATAATGATTTTATAATAAAAATAATTCCACGTTCAAAAACGAAAGACATGGACTAAGTATAATAAATAATAATAGATGAAATTAATAATAATAGAAATAATTTGTTCTTAATAATAATTTTTTATACTAATAATAATTTTAAATTCAAGGCCGAATGGCATGAATTATATATAAGAATAAGAAGTAATAAATAATAAAAAGAATAATTTATTTATGATAAAAATTATAATTACGATAATAATAATAATTTAAGATTTGAATTAAATTTTATTGTTTTATTTACTGTTTAAAATTATTGTTTCAGTTATTAGAATTGCCCTCAGAGAGTCGATTTGTGAAAAATCTCTCGGGTGGTCAACAGAGGCGAGTATCATTCGCAGCAGCACTATTGGCCGATCCTGAATTATTAATTTTGGATGAACCAACAGTGGGCGTTGATCCTGTTCTTCGGCAAAGTATTTGGGATCATTTGGTCCATATCACTAAGGACGGCAATAAAACAATTATCATAACGACTCATTATATTGAAGAGACAAGACAAGCGGGTATTATTGGCCTAATGCGCGGTGGCAAATTTCTTGCCGAGGAATCGCCAAAACGACTAATGGAAATGCACAGATTGGATACATTGGAGGAGGTTTTTTTGAAACTCAGTAAACGTCAAAATATGGGTCTCAGACGAAGAAGCAGTATTCTCAGCAGTGTTACTGGCGTTCTTCCAGAAGCTGTAAGAATTATTTTTGTTATTAGTTTAATTAAAAAAAAGAGAATTTTTTTGTTGTTGTGCGTAATTACATAGTCTGTTAGAATTAAATTTTTTATTTATAGAAATAACAATTTCTATGAATAAAAAATTTAATTCTAACAGACTATGTAATTACTCACGAAAAAAATTGTCCTTTTTCATCTAATTAAAGATATTATATTTTCAAAATTTTGAATTTCAATTATATCCAATATTTTTGGTTTCACTATTTTTAATTTTAATTTAAATATTTTCAATATTTTCAATTTCAATATTTTGAATATTTTTAATTTAATAATTTTCAATTTCATTTTTTTGAATTTCAATTATTTTCACGATCTTCAACATTTTCAATTGAATGTAAGAATAAATTTATAAATTTACAAACTAATAAATAAATTCATTTATTTTTTCAATTATTTATATTTGGAACAATATTTTAAGAATATTTTTTATCAATTAATTTTTTTATTAATTATTTAAGACATTAATTAAGGAGACTAAAAAACATTTCCAGTTTATTATTAAATAAAGAAATTGGATAATAATTTGTTTTAGACTCCAGATGACGAAATGAGTGGAGAATTTGGTGATAATGTCAGTATTTCTAGTCGCAGGAAAAGTATCGTCGTGACTGAAGAGCAAATAGTAAGATCAATTATTTACTTTTAGATTATAAATATCTAATGACTATATATTTATTTAAAATCATTTTTTTTCCGCACCTTTAATTATACAAATTAATCATAATTAAATAGAAATACTTTAACAAATTTTTCATACATAATAAAATATTTATAGTAAATAATAAAATGTAAACTATTTTTCACTCTTAAAATGAAACTAGAAAAATATTATTCTAATTAAACTAAATTAATTAAATTAAAAATATTTTTTTTTCAATAAATAGGCGGCGGATCTTCCACCTGATGAGGAAGGGAACTCAAATTTCAAAATGCTCGATCCACAACACATGAAGGCTCTGATATGGAAAAATTTCCTTTGGATGTGGAGGAACGTAGGGTAAATATTAAGAAAAATACCATAGGTCAGGGAAATCAGAAAATTCAGGGAAAAGTCAGGGAAGTCAGGAATTTTTACTAAAAGTACTAGAAAAAAATCAAATTTTTGAAATCCATAAGAAAATTCTGAATTTTTAGTGTCTTTTTTGTTTGCCTCATAAACTATGAAACTGCCACGAATTCAAATACAAAACCTTCAAAACTTTTTTCTATTTCTGACCAGAATGAATTTTGTAATATTATTTAATTATTTCAAAAGTTTTAATGCAATTATCTTGATAAATAACGAAATTCTTCACAAGGATTAAATTATTTTTAGGAATTTAAAAAAAAATCTTTGCACAATTCAATTATTTTTATAAATAATAATATTCATCACAAGAATTCAATGATTTTCAAAAGTAATAAAATTCTTTGGAGAAATTCAATGATATTTTAAAAATGTTAACGAATATCTCTACAAGAATTCAATAATTATCTTTATAAATAGCAACATTTTTCTCCAAAAATTCAATTGTTTACAAAAATTTAAATAAAATTCTTTGCAAAATTTTAATTATTTTCAAAAGTTTTTCGTAATTCAATGATTTTTCAATATTTACTATTTTCATAAAATTTATCAAAAAATTTAATTATTGAAAAAAATTTTTCATAAAATTCTACGAAAACATTCAATTATTTTCGTAAATAATAAAATTTCATGTAGGAATTAAATTATTTTCACGGCAGAATTTAAAATATTTTTAATACAATTTTAAATAAATTCCTCGAAAAATGCAATTATTCTTAAAAATTTGATTGAAACTTGACGAAAGAATTCAAATTTAAAAAACATTCAATTATTAAATAAAATAATAAAATTCGTTGCAATAATTCAATTATTTTCATAAATAACTTTTAATTCGTCTCAGGAAATCAATAATTTTTCAATATTTTTAAGTAATTCTGCAAAAGAATTCAATTATCTTGTTAAACAACAAAATTCTCCCCATAAAATCAATTATTTCAAGGAATTATAATAAAATTTTTTTCAAAAATTCAATTATTTTCATAAATATCAAAATTTATCACAGGAATTCAATTTTTTTGAAAAGTAATAAAATACTTTGCAGAAATTAAATTATTATCAACATTTTTTAAAAATTCTTGTCAATAATTAAATTATCTTTATAAAATAGGTAGCGAAATTCTTCTCAAGAATTAAATTATTGACAAAAATGTTAATAAACTTTTTGTCAAAATTTCAATTATTTAAACAAAATTTAATAAAATTCATCGCATGAATTTAATTATTTTCATAAATTATTATTTGAATTCTTCTCAGAAATTCAATTATTTTTAAAAATTTTAATAAAATTCTTCAAAAAGTTTTCAATTATTTTCAAAAATTGTTATAAAATTCTTTAATATAATAAATTTCAGTAAAATTTTAATTAAATTTCTGAAAAGAAATTAATTATTTTCAAAAGTTGTTAATAAAATTCTTCGTAAAAATTAAATTTTAATAAACATTCAATTATTGAATAAATTATTTTTTTTTTATTTAAATAATTGAATTCTCATAGAATTTTATAATAAAAATTTATTTAAAAATGAATTTCGATCAATATTTTAGAAAATAATTTAATATTAAAAGCATTATAGCATCGATTTTTAGAAATAATTGAATTTTGAAAAAGGTCTCAAATTCAAATCTTTGTAAATTATTATTTGAATTCTTTTCAGTAATTCAATTATTTTAAAAAATTTTAATAAAATTCTTCAAAAAGTTTTCAATTATTTTCAAGAATTGTTATAAAATTCTTTAATGTAATAAATTTCAATAACATTTTAATTAAATTCCTTAAAAGAAATTAATTATTTTCAAAAGTTAATAAAATTCTTCGTAAAAATTAAATTCTAATAAACATTAAATTATTTAATAAATTATTAATATTTGTATTTAAATAATTGAATTCTCGTAGAATTTTCTAATAAAAATTTATTTAAAAATGAATTTCGGTATCAAATTCAAATCTTTGGAAATCTAAATTTTTCATTTTTTAAATAATAATGGATTTAAAGAAGAATTTTAGTTAAAAATTCTAGAAAATAAGAATTGAATTTAAATGATGAAAATAATTTCAAAAAATTTTAGGAGTAACAATATTCTTATAAAAAATAATAATTTAATCCCTGGGTTATCGTTAATTATTATAAAAACATGATGAAATCGATTACTCCGAGTCGAAGACTCGGAGTGATTGACTTCGTCATGTTTATAATAATATTCTTATAAGTTATTAAATTACAAAAGATTTGAATTTGAAATTTTTGAAAATGTTAATTCCATTTTTTGCCGATTCTGTTTATTTATTTAATGAGGCGGGTATAAAGATCCTTTCGTGCAGAGTACTTTCGTAAATATTTCTATTTATTATTTATTTATTATTATTCTAGTAATAAAAAACAAAAACTTGCAATATATTTAGAATTTTAGTAATAATTGTAAAAAATAAAAATAATAATAATTTAAATAGTAATAGAAGTACTAGTATAATAATCATAAAATTTTTTTCAGAATAATGGCCTTCATTATCGGTTTACCAGTTCTGCAAATAATTTTGTTCTGCCTCTCAATTGGCAAAGATCCAGTGGGATTAACATTGGCTATTGTAAATAATGAATTAAATAACAGTATGGATCGATGCATTCCATCGGTGGGTTGTGATAACACACGATTAAGTTGTCGATTTTTGTATCATTTGGAAAAGCGGACAGTACAATTTCTGCCGTGTGAAACAGATGAGGAGGCGAGATTTGCCGTCACGAAAGGCTGGGCCTGGGCTGCTATTTCCTTCCCGTCAAATTATTCCGAATCCTTACAAAACAGAATCAATGATGGTGCAAATGCTGATAATGACAGTGTCATTTTCGCTGATATGAATGTCGTCATGGACATGTCGAGTAGGTTTTCCTTCACCTAAGTTAAATTTCATAATTATTAATAAATAAATTAATTAAATTAGTTAATTTTTTAACTGTTTATTCCTATTTTTGGAATTATTGTCAATTACAATATTAATACTGTATTTCGGAGTTTAATTTTAATTTTTAATGGCTGTAATTCTGCTTCAATAGATCAGCAAATTGGTCAACTTCTCCAAAGGGATTTATTGTATTCGTATCAGGACTTTGCAAAGGACTTTATAGGTGCATGTAATTACAGCGAGAAATTGGCAACACTTCCCGTAAACGTAGGATATTAATTAATTAATTACAAATTTTATTCTTCGATTCGGTATTCGGTAAACCAATTTCCATTTTAATTTCTCTTCTCAAATTATTCTTTTTTTATTCTATTTATTTAGACACATTTTTAATTAATAAACAGAATACAATAACAAATTTTTTTCCATTCAATCATTTATTATCTCTTATTATTCTTCTGCTTTTATTTTCATAAGTAAATTCCATTTCAATTTCTTCTCTAAAACGATTCTTTTATATTTTATTTATATAGATACGTTTTCAATAATTAAATACAAAATTTAATTATACAAACTATTTTTTCTATTCAATCTTCTGAAGCGGATGTGGCATTTGTTATTCTTTAAATAAATTCTATTCTAATTTCTTTTCTTAAATGATTGTTTTCTATTTTATTCATTTAGATTAATATTTATTTATTTTATTATTATTTATTATTTTTTAATTTGAAATAAAATTAAGTGCAATTCGTTTGCTAAATTTAATTTCTATTCATCTCTAATTTTTTCTATAAATTAGTTTTAGCAGGTGATTTGTTTTCCTCTTTTAATGATTTCGGGAAAATTAATCTCTATAACATTATTCTATTTTCGACAACCATCTTTTTATTTTAATTAATTCAAATTAATGTCTTTTCATCTAACTCAATAAAAATTTAATAAATCTTTATTTAATAATAAATAAAAAAAATTTCAGTTTAAAACACCGATTTACGGAACAAGAGAGCCTAATTTCACCGATTTTGCAGCCCCTGGAGTTATTTTGACGTGAGTATATATATATCTTCCTTCTTAGTTTTATTATCACAATTATTTGAATCGTAGAAAGAAAATGATAATTGAATTTTAAATTAAATTTAATCAAAATAAATTTAATTTAATTTTAGTAAGTTCATGTAATTAATTTAATTATAATTAAATTTTTTTTTTGAAATTTTAACTTTATTTCTATTCTTTAAGGATTATATTCTTCTTGTCTGTTGCACTCACTTCGGGTGCCATGTTACTGGAAAGAAATGAGGGTCTACTTGAAAGATGTTTAGTATCAGGTAAATTTGAATTTAAATTAGAAAGATATAAAAAATAAAAAAACCTTCTTTATTCTTTTAATAATAAAAAACAAATATATATTTTCAGGTGTAACCGGAACGGAAATTCTGTTCGGTCAGGTAGTTACACAGTTTATGGTGATGACTGGCCAAACAGTGATGGTTTTGATTTTCGCATTCGCCGTGTTCGACGTCACATGTGAGGGAGATTTGGCATGGGTGACTATTCTCACAATTCTTACTGGATTGTGTGGAATGTGTTTCGGTAATTTTACTGTTTTAATTAAAATTTTCCATTCAAGTTTCTATATTTGAATTTTCCATTTTCAATCAAAAGTGAAAAATCCAAATAAAAAAAATTAAAGTACAAAAAAAGGCAAATTTTGGAAAAAAGTTGATTTATTTAAAATTTAAAAGTAAAGATTTATTTAAAGATTTTAAAGTCATTTTTCTTTTATTTTGTTTTTATTTCTATTTTGTTTGTTCATTTGTTTTTTGTTTTTTGTTTTTTTTTTTTTGAAAAACGGAAAAGGAATGATTATTGAAATTTTTTCAGGTTTTGTTGTGGCGTGTTCGTGTGAAAATGAAAGAAGTGCAACGTATATGGCGATGGGATCATTTTTGCCAATTGTCATGTTATGCGGAATTATTTGGCCTATTGAAGGAATGCATCCAGTATTGAGATATATCAGTTTCATTTTGCCCCTGACAAAGAGCACAGAATCGTTTCGATCAATGCTGGCGAGAGGATGGACAATCTCAGAGGCAACGGTTTATGAAGGATTTATTGCCACTTTCATCTGGATTATTGTTTTTCTAACAATCGCAATATTATTACTTAAATTCAAAAAGGGATAAATGGAAAATTCTTTTTTTTTTATTGATTTTTTCTTTTAACGGAAATTCCAATTTGCCATTATAATTGACCGTATTTTTTTTTATGCAAAAAAATGGCGAGGTCAATTTATTTTTATTGTAATACTCCAAATGGCGAGTATGAAAGGCTTAAATTTATTATTGTTATTAATTATTATTATTATTATTATTAATATTATAATTATTATTATTTTTATTATCGATGTTATGAATTTTTATGCGTGTCAATAATGAAATGCTCAATGCGATGTAATGTATTTATTATTGTGCTTAATGTGAAATTTAGAAAATATTTATAAAGATGAATACAAAAGAAAATATTAATAAGATAAAAATAGAAATATGCAAAATGATGATGTCAGGATACAGGGTTTTAATTGCTCAAGGTTTTCAGTGTTAATTTTTCAAATGAATTTCAAATTTCTATTTCGTCATTAATTTAAATTATTTTAATAAAATAATAAATTTGATATTAGCATTAGTAATTATATTTTTAATAATAAGTAGGACAGTATTCGTTATGAAATTGTAAACTTTTGTACAGTAGTGGTGCAAATTTTTCTTTATATTGGTTGAAAAATGACAGTTTTGTATAATTATTGATTTAAACATTTTTCAAGCAAGAAAGGAAAATGTTTAAAAAATTATTCTTATAAAAAAACGATTTAGAATCAAAAATAAATATTGTACTTAATGAAAAATTTTAATTCGTCTATTTATTATTAATTTTTTCTTATTTTTAATAATTAATTTTTATTAATTTTATTAATTTTATTAATTCTATTTATTAATTTTATAAATGAATGTCTATTTTTAAATTAATGAATGAAATTTTATTTACATTCATTTCTTAATTTTCAATTATTTAAATAGTAATTAATTATTATAGTTTATAATTATTTGATTAATAATAAATTATAATTTATTTTAATTAATTTATAATAATTATTATTTCTTTATTATAATTTATAATTATTTAATAAATAATAGTTATTTTTACAAATTATTTGAATAATATTAAATTATTATTTATTATAATTTATAATATAGATAGTAATTTATTTATTTAACTTTCTTTTTATTATTAATAATAATTCTTTATTTAACTGGAATTGATTATAAGGCGATTAATATTCAATGTAATAATCACTTTTAATGCATTCTTTGAAATTTTTAATTACCCATCAAAGTTATTTCCAATTATTAATTATTAATTAATAAATTTGAAATTGAACAATAATGCACAACTTCAAAGTGTAGTCTTCAATCACTAGCCAAGGGCAAAGGGGAATTCCCTTTTTAACATTTTTCAATTTTAAACAAATTTTTCCAATAATTAGTGTAACTTTAAAATTTAAATTAGTAATTATGCATTAAAATATAAAAAAAATCCAATTAACATTCAATATAAATGCAAATTTATATTAAGTTTAATATTTACCTCTTTTAATTGTTATAATAATTAAGACCATATTTTTCCCGCCGCTGGATTTAAAAATGTAAATTACACATACGATTAGCTGAAAAATGTTTCAATTGATAAACAACGTAATTTTTATGATTTTTATCGTAATTTTTATTACAAATAGCTTATAATATTCTAAAATAATAACGAATAATTTGTAAAATGTTTTTTTTAGTGAAAAGCATAATAAATCATTATTTTAAATTTTACATTCTCATTTTTTTTCTAAAAATACTTGTCGAGTGTTTTGACTCACGTAGTTGCTTACATTGTTGTCACTTTAATTAAATTGCCGGCGACTTAATTGTTTGCCGGGTTTGCCGTTATTTTGACAAAATGTTGTGAAGTATTTGTGCAATTTTTCTTGCATTTATTTACATTGGGAATTATTTACGAACAATTGACAACAAAAATTAAGTTAATTTGATAATTTGATGTAATTATAATTGAAGGTAAGAGTCTTTTAAATTATCGCACATTTTTTGAGGTTAGGTTCTGAAATGTCATATCAGAGTTTTAATATTAATTTTAAAATCAATTTCTGTGTTAATCGACTGTTTAAACAATGACTGCTCAGAGTCTAAAATTATTCTTAGTAATAAATTTATGGAATTGAAAACAATTTGTACAACTTAGGAAATTAGAAAAATATTAAGAGCGCACGTGTTTACATTGTACATGGAACAAATATTTTTCACATGAAACTAATTGAAAATAATTCTTAAAAATTCAATTTCTTTGAATAGTATTTTATGTTTGTAGTGGTAAATTCAATTTATAAATTTAAATATTTGTTTACTTTCATATTTTTTCACTTACGAATGTTTAAATTTTTTCACTTTTTATTTTTTTGTACTTAATGTATACTTTTTTCTTACGTAGAATATTTTCCTTACTTTGAAAGTTAAGAAAACGAAAAAGTACTTTTAAAAAGTAGTTTTAAAATTTCAATGTCAAAAATTAATACGTTTATCTGTGTATAAAGTTGACACGAGTTCCTAAACCATTTACCTGCAGACTCAACTTAAGTCTCTAAGTCCTTTTAGAATCCCTAAAGTTGCAAAGAGCTTATAATCTTTAATCTGTTGTGTCCAAGACTTAATTAATCTTTCGAAAGTTTATTTCCTAATGGAGAAAATAAACGCCAAAACATACTGTTTTTAAAAAAAATTGTGTTCATCGTAAAATAAAAATTGTTCAATTAATTCTTTAGAGAATAAATTCTAAATTCTATTTTTCCTCTTCTTTAATGTTTAATATTTAATAAAAAAATTTTAACGAAGACTGTTAAAAATATTAATTATTTAAGATTCCTAGTCATTAGCAATTCGATTATTATGAACGGAATTAATATTTCTCTTATACGAACTCTAATTTAATTTTAATAAATTCTTCGCTCTTCAGTATCTATTTTCTTTTTCACTTTTTTTCATTATTCATTAAGAGGAAAAATTGATTTTTTTTGCATTAAATTAACTTTAATTATCGGAGAAAGTAATTTTAATTAGTTGATAATTTTTTTAAATTTAAAAGTAAATTATTATTTTTATTTTAATTATTTACTATTTTTGATTTAGTAATAAAATAAATTGAAATTTCATTTCAGACGTGTCCTCAATTATGAATGAAGTCACGTGTGCGATTGAGGATTCCGGACGTCCAGAAACTTTAATGGATCAGTTGATTAACGATGACAATAACAACAGCAACAACAAAATCAACGAATCTTCAGAAATGGACACTGAATTTATCGATACAATTTCCATGACGAAAGCAGATACCGATGATTTATTCAGTATGGACACATTACACGATTCGACAATTGATAGACTCGATGAACCAACGCTTGGAGGTTTTTACGACTTGTCAGACATCGATAAATTTTCCAATTTTAAGTCCAAAGCCGTTCAAATGCCTGAAGTTTCATCGACTGAGAATGTAAAAATTATTGTTAATACTTCACAGCCAATAGACGCAGATCTCGATGAAATACCACCGAATAGACCAAAAATAATTTCAGAAGAAATTGTCGAAACGAAAATTCTCCTTTATCAAAAATCGACAATCTATGAGAAGGATAATGAAAAAACTTCCACTGCGAAAAAATTTGAAGCTGACAAAAATACATCAAGTAATTCACTCGATATTTGCGAAATCGAATCACTATCAGGAATGGATGATTGTCGTGGATTTTCAATTGAAGATGTGACAGAAAGTTTCGAGAAAATAAAGAAAAATATATCTCAACAACCAGTTGAATACGATTTTCCAAATATTTACCGAGAAACATCGATTATTTCAATTCCAAACGCCGAATCAATTTCGTATTTGAATTTCAATCTTCCCGATCAAGTTGAACCACTCGAATCGATAGTATTAGGAAAAAATTTGATTAAACCCTCAATGTTTTATTTCAAAGGCTCCGGCTACACGGAACTTGATTCATTAATGAGAAAATGTAGTATTATTGGTCAAAAAATTGCCGGAAAATCGAAGAGAGCCAATAAAAAGGATAAAACATTATCAATTATTCAAAAAGGAAAATTAAATGTGTTGATGAAAAAAAGGAAAATTGAACAATTTGTCGCCAATGAACAAGAATCAAGTGTTGAACGACGACAAACAAGATTTTTATTAAAGAATCAAAATCAATTGCTACAACAATTAAGTGACACGCCAAAATCAAATCAAAATAATCATCAATCGAAACCGAGAAAAATTATTTCTCAAATAAATAAATTAAACTTAAAAGACGTTCGGGTTAGTCTTGAGCGTATTGAAATCATAAAAGAGTATGCACATCTAGATTATTTGAATTCAAGTCCTCTTATTGATCCTTCTGACTCTTCAGAAAACGAACAGTCATTACGTATGGATGAGAGTTCAAAAAAGGAGATATCATTCGCAACCCGCAGGTCGGATAGGCTAAGAAAAAGTGAGATAAAAGGTATCATTCCTTTCAAATCTAAATATCGTAGTATTAAACAAAAAAAACGGGTCTCATTTTCAGAGTCCGTTTTTATAAAGGAGTTTTAAGAAAAAGGTTCTTTTTTCGGGGGATGAATTTATGATTCAAAATAAAAATTTGTGATAGTCCTAAAACCAAAGCAAGTTAAGTTTAATTAATTGTTTTCAATTAATAATCAGTGTTACCTTACTTGCTAAGAGAGAAATAATTTTGTTTAAAGAATAAAAAGTATTAGGACTAAGTATTATTAATTATTAACTATAAATAATTAAATTTAAAAGTTATTAAAATATTCAAAAAAATATTCCAATATTACAATGTTTATAAATTTATAATGTTACTACTAAATATTATCGATATTTAAAGATTCTCTTTGAATCGAAAAGAAAAAAAGTACAAATTAAAATCAAAGAAAAATCTCTAAAGAAATTGTGATTTAAAAACTATTCTATGAAAATATTTGCAATAAATATTATGTACATTTAAATATTACAGGAAAGTATTTAAAACTTGTTTTTTGTTAAAAATATTGTTATGAACGAAACAAAAAGTTTTCTTTGGTACGAATTTCCTCATTTTTTGCCTTATTGTTCAAAACAATAGGTTTTCGAATAAATGATTTGTTTTCAATAAATAAAAGCAAGAAGACTTTGAATAAAACTAAATTAAATTTTTTGTTAGTTTAAACAAAAAATTCAAATTTGAAACAAGTAATTATTTTAACTTGACGTAAATTTTAAGACATTCTACTTAGTCGGCAATTCAAGAGACTGTTAAGTTCTAAAATTAAAATGTAATATTAAAAAGAAAATATTGTAATAATTCTGTGAACAACTAGTTTAAGATAAAATATTTATTTTATATAAAATGTTTTGTAAAAGGAAAAAGTTTTGAATTTATTAAAATTGTTAAATCACTTAAATTCTTATTTTATTAAATCGTTGAAACATTAAATTGAATCATTGAAACAGTTTTTAAAACATTAAAACTTAAAATAAAGAATAAAAATTATATAATTGAAATCTTAAGTGTTTTAAATATTGAAATTAATTTATTAAAAATCGTTAAATTATTGTTTACAATCGAAAAATTTGAAAACAATTGAATTTCTTTGAAGAGAAGGAATTCAATTATAATTCAATTAATTCAAAATTTTTAAAAATAATTGAATTCTTCCAAAAAATGTTACTAAAATTTTAAAAAATAATTTCATTCTTTGCGAGAATTTTATTTAAATTTTTCTAAAAATAATAGTCTTTTTTAAATAATTTTGATTGCAAATTTGGAAAATAATTGAATTTTATGAAGAATTTTATTAAAATTATTAACAGAAAATTAAATTATTCTTTTAAACAATTTTATTAGATTTTACGTAAATATTTAAGTTCTTTTGAAGAATTTCTTTAAGTTTTTTGAAAATAATACCTACAGTTTTTTTTTAATAATTTTAATCGAAAATTTTGAAAATAATTGAATTAAACTATTAAACAAAGAATTTTTTTCAACTTTGTGAAATAATCGTTTCTGTTAATAGTTGTAATTAAAATTTTACTTCTTGAATTTTAGTGAAATTGTATTGGAAATAATTAAATTCCTAAAAGAATTTTATTATTTATAAAAATAATTTAATTCTTGCGAACAATTTTACAATTTATTAAAGTAATTAAATTTGTTTCGAGAAATTTTATCAAAATTCAATTTTCGAAAAACTGCCTTTGATATTATTTTGAAATAAAAAAATTGTTATTGATAACACTTAAATTAAAATTAAATTAAATTAACTAAAAATTTAATTAAATTGAATTAATAAAAAATTGAATTAATTTAATAAAATTAATTAAAATAAAATACAAAAATTATGTTCCAGTTTGATAAAGAAAATTGACATTAATATTCTTTTGCATTAAAAAAAATTGTCATTTATTACAATTAAATTAATTAAAACAAAATTATATATAATAATCGTCGTGATTCCAGATTTCCGGATCTCTGTCCACACTTGAAGTTAGTTATAGTTATTCTTTTGTTTTTTATACGTTTTGATAGAAAATAGAAATATACATATACATATACATACATTATAATAATCGTAAGTTTCCTTTCCGTTAGCAAATTATCTGCATTCATTTGTTTGTTTTGAAAATTTAATTTTGTGGGTTAAGTATTGGCATTTTTTATATATTTTTTAATGTCAAACTTTTTAATGTGGAAAATACTTTACTTATTAAATTGTCTCGACACTTTGGTAAAAAATCTAAAATTATCGAAAATTATCAAAAATTCAAAAATACGAATTTCTTAAAATTTAAGATTCTTTCCTCTCTTTTATGGGATTTAGCTTCATTATTTTTGTGCTTTTGAAAAATACTTTACTTATTAAATTGTCTCGACTCTTTGGTAAAAAATCTAAAATTATCAAAAATTCAAAAAATATCAAAAATCCGTTTTTCTTAAAATTCAACATTTTTTCCTCTCTTTTATGGGAATTAGCTTTATTATTTTTGTGCTTTTGGAAAATACTTTACTTAATTAATAGTTCGACTCTTTAGTAAAAAATCTAAAATTATCAAAAATTCGAAAAAATTCAAAAATCCGATTTTCTTAAAATTCAACATTTTTTCCTCTCTTTTATGGGAATTAGCTTAATTATTTTTGTGCTTTTGGAAAATACTTTACTTATTAAATTGTCTCGACTCTTTGGTAAAAAATGTGAAATTATCGAAAATTATCAAAAATTCAAAAATCCGAATTTCTTAAAATTCAACATTTTTTCCTCTCTTTTATAGAATTTAGCTTCATTATTTTTGTGCTTTTGGAAAATACTTTACTTATTTAAAAGTCTCGACTCTTTGGTAAAAAATCTAAAATTATCGAAAATTATCAAAAATTCAAAAATCGGAACTTTTTAAAATTCAACATTTTTTCTTCTCTTTTATGGGATTTAGCTTCATTATTTTTGTGCTTTTGGAAAATACTTTACTTATTAAATAGTCTCGACTCTTTGGTAAAAAATCTAAAATTATCAAAAATTCGAAAAAATTCAACAATCCGATTATCTTAAAATTCAACATTTTTTCTTCTCTTTTATGGGATTTAGCTTCATTATTTTTGTGCTTTTGGAAAATACTTTTCTTATTAAATTGTCTCGACTCTTTGGTAAAAAATGTGAAATTATCGAAAATTATCAAAAATTCAAAAATCCGAATTTCTTAAAATTCAACATTTTTTCCTCTCTTTTATAGAATTTAGCTTTATTATTTTTGTGCTTTTGGAAAATACTTTACTTATTTAATAGTCTCGACTCTTTGGTAAAAAATCTTAAATTATCAAAAATTCGAAAAAATTCAAAAATCCGAATTTCTTAAAATTCAACATTTTTTCTTCTCTTTTGTGGGATTTAGCTTCATTATTTTTGTGCTTTTGGAAAATACTTTTCTTATTAAATTGTCTCGACTCTTTGGTAAAAAATGTGAAATTATCAAAAATTCGAAAAAATTCAAAAATCCGAATTTCTTAAAATTCAACATTTTTTCCTCTCTTTTATAGAATTTAGCTTCATTATTTTTGTGCTTTTGGAAAATACTTTACTTATTTAATAGTCTCGACTCTTTGGTAAAAAATCTAAAATTATGAAAAATTCGAAAAATTTCAAAAATCCGTTTTTCTTAAAATTCAACATTTTTTCTTCTCTTTTATAGAATTTAGCTTCATTATTTTTGTGCTTTTGGAAAATACTTTACTTATTAAATAGTCTCGACTCTTTGGTAAAAAATCTAAAATTATCAAAAATTCGAAAAAATTCAACAATCCGATTATCTTAAAATTCAACATTTTTTCTAATCTTTTATGGGATTTAGCTTCATTATTTTTGTGCTTTTGGAAAATACTTTTCTTATTAAATTGTCTCGACTCTTTGGTAAAAAATGTGAAATTATCGAAAATTATCAAAAATTCAAAAATCCGAATTTCTTAAAATTCAACATTTTTTCCTCTCTTTTATAGAATTTAGCTTTATTATTTTTGTGCTTTTGGAAAATACTTTACTTATTTAATAGTCTCGACTCTTTGGTAAAAAATCTAAAATTATCAAAAATTCGAAAAAATTCAAAAATCCGATTTTCTTAAAATTCAACATTTTTTCTTCTCTTTTACGGGATTTAGCTTCATTATTTTTGTGCTTTTGGAAAGTACTTTACTTATTAAATTGTCTCGACTCTTTGGTAAAAAATCTAAAATTATCAAAAATTCGAAAAAATTCAAAAATCCGAATTTTTTAAAATTCAACATTTTTTCCTCTCTTTTATAGGATTTAGCTTCATTATTTTTGTGCTTTTGGAAAATACTTTTCTTATTAAATTGTCTCGACTCTTTGGTAAAAAATGTGAAATTATCGAAAATTATCAAAAATTCAAAAATCCGAATTTCTTAAAATTCAACATTTTTTCCTCTCTTTTATAGAATTTAGCTTTATTATTTTTGTGCTTTTGGAAAATACTTTACTTATTTAATAGTCTCGACTCTTTGGTAAAAAATCTAAAATTATCAAAAATTCGAAAAAATTCAAAAATCCGATTTTCTTAAAATTCAACATTTTTTCTTCTCTTTTACGGGATTTAGCTTCATTATTTTTGTGCTTTTGGAAAGTACTTTACTTATTAAATTGTCTCGACTCTTTGGTAAAAAATCTAAAATTATCAAAAATTCGAAAAAATTCAAAAATCCGAATTTTTTAAAATTCAACATTTTTTCCTCTCTTTTATAGGATTTAGCTTCATTATTTTTGTGCTTTTGGAAAATACCTTTCTTATTAAATTGTCTCGACTCTTTGGAAAAAAATAAAAAATTATTAAAAATTATCAAAAATCCGAAAAATTGAATTTCTTAAAATTCAACATTTTTTTTCTCTTTTATACCATTTAGCTTTATTATTATTTGAATTTTTATTCAAGAGAAAAAATGGAAAACTGAAAAAATTTAGAAACTTTTACAAATTCCAGGCCTTTTCCATGATTTCCCTGATTTTCAGATTCTGTAGGAACCCTGCTTTTGTCTGACTTTCTTCTAAATTATCGAATTCAGTGATTTCTGGGGTGAATTTGGTTAAGTTGTTAAATGATTAATTTCTATTTGAATTCGTTTTTTTTGAATGTAGAAAATCTGATGTTAATTTAATTCTTTTTTCGTTATGCACGGCAAAAAATATTTAGCTGGATGAAGTACAGATTTCACTTTAGTAGCGAAATTATTTAGTGCTTCAATTAATACTTTCGTTATTCTAGAGAAACTTATCGCTATTTCAAGTAAAACTTTTTTCAGTGTGTAATAATTATTATTTCTTTAAAAAGTATTCAATTTAAAATGGCTTTATAAAATAAGCAATGCAAAAGATGACCCAGATACTAATTGTAATTGTTCTAGCCATAGTTTAAGTCTAGTTATGTAAATTCTATTTAAATTGAGACCATTGAGTGAAATTATTTGAATTTTAGTTAGTTAAATCTCTTTGTTAGGCTATAATAATTATTTCTTTAAAATTTTTTAAATTGTTTAAAATAAGCAGCCCCATACAACATTCCCGCGCGCTTGCGCGCGGATAGTTTGGCTAGTTAATTACAAAAGTTATACAGTTGAAGTTATCAGTTTGATAAATAAAATTATCATTATTATTTTTTTTTGCAATAAAAAAATTGTATAATAAAAAATATATATTTCTCTATTTTCTTCTTTCTTAGTTTTAATTAATTTTCTAAATATCAATAATAAATACTTAAATAGTACATAAACTTTTTGAAAAATGTATAAATTCTATTTTTTTTAATTAAAAAATAGGATTTAAAAATAATATTACACAAAAAAAATGATATTTCAATCCGAGAAATATTTTCCTTTTTAATAATTAATGACTGCTTTATTTGACGGCCAGTACTTGAAATACACGTGGATATTAATTTATTGTAGACTAGAAAACAAATTCGGCATATAAGTATTTTGTTGCAATATTTATTGCTCTTTTTCTTTCATAAATAAGAAATAAATACTAAAACTAAATTTATTGTTCATTCGTTTTCCGAGAGAATAAAGGATATTTTTTTACATATACTATAAATGGTACAAAATTTTGATTTCTAATTAAAGATTTCTATTTATATGAACAATATTTTCGCTTTTCTCATATATATTATTTATTTATTTTCCTCTGACAATTGGCACCAAAAAAGAAATTTAATTTTTACTTTACAACTTCAAACATTTGGAAATTAATTTCTAGAGGATTTCTTCAATTTATTTTTTCATTTTTCTATTTATTTTCTTGGAAATTTAATACTTTTTTAAATGTTAATTTAATACAGTAAAATTGAGTCAGTTTGGAAATTTCGATTTCATTATAACAATGAAAGAATATAAAGTAAAAATTAAACATGGTGCTAATTATGAAACTTTTCACAATTTTTTCTTTATATTTTGTTACACATTTTGTAACGTAGCTATTAAATAATTTTTCTTTTTCCTCTGAACAAGTTGATAATAATCTAACAATAAATCACAATAATTTATGACGTTTTAACTTAGCTTAATTGAAATTTACAGTTTTTTTTTCTTATATAATATTTACATCTAAAACGATCTTATTTATAAAGTGTGTCTATTTATTATTTAATTTTCTAAATTTATTACATTTACGCAAAATTCATTGCTCATTAAACCCTGTTATTTTAATGAATTTTATCGCCAATTTGAAAGAGTAATGTTTCATCATAGAGAAAAAAAAAGAAATCAGTCATTTTCATAAAAGTAATTTTAATTTTGCTCTCAATTTTACTAAAAATCGAAATTATTTTTAACAAATTTAATTTCTATTTCGTAAATTATTTTTTGAAAATATAACGCAGTATAGAATTAATACAATATTTAAAAAAAAAAATTATTGTAACAATAATAATATCTATGTATTACAAATTTACAACACAATATAATACAATACGATTATGAGAAAATATAATTTTGACGATTATAAAAAATATTCTCCAAATTAATTAATTGTATTTTCTAAATAAATTTTGGCGATTATGATTAATTGTTCAAAGTAAGAATGAAGCGAAAACGCATTAAAAAATCGTCGTACAAAAATCAGATTTTTTTCTTTATTTTTTTATTTTTTTTTTTTTGTCTTTTTTATACAATTTTTCAAAACAGATAATTTTAGTATAATGAATAACATTTTGTTGAATACAAACCGATAGTTGTCGATCAACAATAAAACATTTTTAAATTTTATTAACAGTTTTTCCAGAATTTACAAATTTGATTATTGTTTATAATTTTTATTTGTAAGTGATTTGTCAATTCGCTTTAATTAATTTATAATTTTCAACTTCTTCTCAGAACAAAATTCTCTCAGTTTTAGCAATTCAGATAAAAATCCTCAATTACAGAAACAATTTTTCTTTTAAGAAAAACGAAGAAAGTTTTCTTTTTCTTGCAAAAACATTTTAAAAACAATTTTTTTTATAATTATTTGAATATTGAAAAACGTTTTGAAATGAAATATTTTCATAGATTTTTCATTTATTAACAATTCTTTGAATAAATTTTCATCTTCGCTACAAATTTTTCTGTGATAACATTTTTTTCTCGAATAATTTTATTTAAGAAAAAATAATTTCTTCAAAGGAAGGAAACTAAAATTCAAATTTTACTTTCTTGAATAAAAAGAATTCCGGAAAAACTTATTTCTGAGCAACATATTATTTGAGAGTTCTTTTTATACTCTTGGAGTTTATTAAAAAAATTTCCCTAATATTTAAGACTAAAAATAAATTTTATTTTAAAACAATATTATTAATTACCATTTTTTGCTTTTTGTGTATATAGAAATTTCTTTTTTGAAATTTTCTTTTTTTGTAGAGAATGGAAAAATGAATAAATCCAGATTATAATCCAAGTAGTAATAAATTTTACAGTAAGTACCATTTGCCCTTGGTATTATTAACAGGTAGATTTAGGATTAAACATAATTAGCTATAAATAAAAATTTAAGCCACAACATTTTTTTTACGACGTGTACAAAATTTAAAGGCAACAGTTTTAAAATAAATTTACTTTTTCTTTTGGTTTAATACAAATTTTTACAAAATTATGTTTTCCTTTTTATTTCAGGAGAAAGAAAAATGATAACTAAAAATAATGTTTTTCTCACGTAATTTTTAAAAAAGTTTCTAAAATATAAATTTCTCATTACTGTTGACTGTAAAAAACAGAAATAATTTTTCAGAAGCAAATTTTCTCTGAAATTGAACAACAATATATGGTATAAATAAAAAAACACTTTCTTGTGTATATCAAACATGAAATATTCATTTTAGAACACTTTCGTCTTATTATAAAATATTATTATTATTATTATTTCATTTATCGAGTAAAGTGAACAACAAAATTGAAAGCTCTTTGGTAATGGCGATGAGAGTTAAACTTTTTCAAAATATTTTTTAATCTATGTAATAAAAATCATGCGCATATAATTTGAATTGAAAATTAATTTTCAAAAAAAAGGGAATTTTTTTATCTTTTTGAATCATTTTATGAAAAACGTTTCATACACTAATAAACAACAAAATAAAATTTTAATTTGTCCAAATTCACAAATTATAATTTAGAAAAAAAAAATTTGTTAATAAAATATACACTAGACAATAATAAAAATTTTTAATAAATTTTTTTTTAAAAATTCAATTCTCATTTTGAGATAAAAATTTTAAAACGGGATAAAAAATTTCCCGGAAATACATATATATATTTACATTTTTTTCATCTATCTACGAGTAAGAAAAATACTAAATCAATTTAAACCTAATTAATTAGTTAAATTATTATTTTTTATATAATGTACACAAGTATAAAAAAATATGCAAAATTAATGAAAAAATGAAATTCTCTATAATTTTATCATTAATTTTGATGATGATGTTGATGATGATAATGAATTTCTGTGTGTATGAAAAATCTACAAATGGGTTTTTATGAGAGGTTTAAAAAAAATTATCACTGATAATTGTTTTTTACTTGCAATAAAAAAAATTGTTACTAGTCTCTTTTTTGCAATAAAAAAAAATTGCTATTGATATTTACTTGCAAATGAAAAAATTGTGATTGATAGAATTTTTTTACAGTAAAAGAATTGCAATGCAAAATGTTTCTTATTTTTTTTTGAAATTTAAAAAAATTGTCATTGAGAACATTTTTTTACACTAAAATAATTGTCATTGACATTTTTTTACTGTACAGAAAAAGTTTGACATTTTTTTCAATAAACAAAAATTGGTATGGATATTTTTTGCAATAAAAAAATAGCAATATTGATATTGTTTTGCAATAAAAAAAAACTGTCATTTATATTAATTTGTACAGTAGAAAAATTGCCATTGATATTTTTTTGTTGCAATAAAAAAAATGTCATTGAGAACATTTCTTCACAGAAAAAAATTGCCATAAATATTTTTTTACAATAAAAAGAAATTTGATAATGTTCTTTTACAATACAAAAAATTTGATAATATTTTCTTCAATAAAGAAAAATTGTCGTTGATATTTTTTTTGCAATACAAATTGTTATTGAAAGATAATTTTACAGTGAAAAAAATGGTCATTAATATTTTTATAAAATAAAAATTGTAATTGATAATATTTTTTAAACAAAGAATAATTGTCATTGATATTTTTTACAATGAAAAAAATAATTATTTATATTTTTTGCAAAAGAAAACTGTCATAACCTTTTTTACAGTAAAAACATTGCCATGGATATTTTTTTTCAACAAACAATATTGTCATTAATATTCTTTTTTAGAATCAAAATTGTCATTGACAAAATTTTTTTACAATAAAAAAATAGTCATTGGTATTTTTTTACAATAAATAAATCGTCATTCATATTTTCTTCACAATAAAAAAAATAATCATCGATAATATTTTTTTGTAATTAATAAAAATTGTCATTAATATTTTTCTTAATAAAAAAAAATGGTAAATTACAACATTTTTTGACAATAAAAGAATTGACATTAAAAAATTTACTTGCAATGTAATATTTTTCTTTCAATAAATAAAAATTGTCATTGATATTTCTCTTGCAATAAAAAAATTGCCATTGATATTTACTTTTACAATAAAAAATTGTCATTCATAATATTTTTTTTCTGCAGTAAAAAAAAATTGTCATTGATAATAATTTTTTTTTTTTTTTTGATTGAGATCCTTTTTTGATGGCTGAAAAGTTATAATTAAAAAAAAAATTCTCAGCAATTTTGATCGTGAATAAGAAACGTGTCACGATAGAGAGAACCTGGATTTCTGTGAATCATGGTGACATATGAACCACCGGCTTCTGAATTTGCAGTGGTATTTGCCGTTGGCGTCAGAAGTGGAGTACCCTGAAGACTAATAGCAAGTGGAAGTGTACCTGGGGCACAGACGTTTAATGTCCCTCGACTCGCTTCTGTCACCGAACGATATCTGGCCAATCTTCCTGACCTGTAATTTCACAAATTTCACCCATACTTTAATCGATTTTCCAATTTTATTGCACGATAATTAAATTAATCAAGTCCCCTTTTTGCCATTTTTATGCCAATAATAACAAAATGTTCAATCAAAAATATTTTCATAGAGATTTTTTCTATTTTTTTTTTTAAATTATTCGTTTAAAAAATAATTGTAGTAAAGAAATTAATTAATGTTTTATTTTCTAGAAATTATTCGTGTTAAAAATAATTGTAATAAAAAAATTAAATAATTTTTTCTGTTTTTCAAAAATTATTCGTTTCAAAAATAATTGCAATAAAGAAATTAATTAACTTTTTCTGTTTTTAAATAATTATTCGTTTCAAAAATAATTGTAATTAAGAAATTAATTAATTAATACAGGGCTCGAACTAAAATTCATCTTTAAATCAATTATTTTCAATAATTTTCGAAAAAGTTCTTTGACAATTTTCAAATCCATTTGTTTACAATATTCAATTCTACGAAATTTCAATTATTCGTACATTCTTTAATTAAATAAATATTAGAAAATAAAAAACTTAAAATAATATTAACAAAATTCAATTAAACTTGTACAAAAAAATTCATTTCAAAATTCAATTATTTTTAAAAATTCACGCTATATTGCTTTTAATATTCAATTATTATCTAAAATTTTAACTAAAATTCATCTTCAAATCAATTTTTATTAGAAAATTCTACTAGAATTCAATTATTTAACTGCAAAAATAAATAATTTATTGAATAATTGAATGATTCTTAAAATTCAATTCCCATACAGAATTTTATCAACAAATTTTTACCTTTAATTAAATTCCTTCGGTCAATTTTAATAAAATTTTTTAGAGTAATTTTTTTCCCGAGAAATTCGATTGAAATTGTGTTAAAAATAATTGGATTTCTGCAATAATTTGTAACTTTTCCAAATTTAATTTTTTTTTCCTGCTTTCAACTAAAATTCTTCTCTATAAACATTATTTTCAATAATTTTTGAAACAGTTCTTTGAGAATTATCAAATTCATTTGTTTACAATTCAATTTTACAAAATTTCAATTATTCGTAAATTCTTCTATTAAATATGTATTAGAAAATAAAACTTGAAATAATTTTTAAAAAAGTCATAAAATAAACTTTCACGAAAAAATTAATTCCACAGAACTGTTAGTTAAAAATATGAAAAATTCAGATTTTGAATTTCAAAGATATTAATTTGAAACCCTTTCAGAATTCAATTATTTCAAAAAATTCACGCTTTAATGCTTTTAATATATTCAATTATAATATAAAATTTTAACTGAAATTAATTTTTAAATCAATTTTTTTTTAAAATTCTATACTAGAATTCAATTATTTTAATCAAAAAAAAATAATTTATTGAATAATTGAATGTTTCTTAAAATTTAATTATCATAAAGAATTTTATTGAAAGCATTTTTAAATAATTAAACTCTCTTGACGAAGTTTAATAAAATTTTTAAAAATAATTTAGATTAATTTTTCTACGAATTCGATTAAAATTGTTTGAAGAAAGTAATTGAAATTCAGCGATGAGTTTTATTATTTATGAAAATAATTGAATTCCTAAAAACAATTTTATTATTTACGAAAATAATTTAACCTCTGTAAAAATTTTATTATTTATGAAAATATTTGAATTGTTGCGAAGAAATTAATAAAAAATTTGTAAATTATTGAATTCCTGTGAAATTTTTATTATTTTATGACAACAATTATAATGTTTGCGTAGAATTTTATTAAAATTTTTTTCAATTAATTGAATTCTTTTGGAAAATTTTATTAAAATAGTAGATATTGAAAATCATTGAAAAGAGAAAAATTGTTGAAAATAATTGAATTTAGGAGAAGAATTTTATTATTTCTAAAAATAATTGAAATTTCTATTGGAGAATTTTTAAAAATTTTTGAATATAATTGAATTTCTGCATTCATTTGTAATTTCTCTAAAATTCTCCAAATTATATCGTACAATTTACGAACTTTTCGTTCTTTTATCATAAAATAACTGTAAAACTCATACAATAATATTTGTATTTTTCAAAAGATAAGTAATTAATTTTCTAATTCAATTTCTACTGTTTTTATTATTTTTCAAATTTATTTGATTCTTTTTCATTTATTTTATTTTTAGTTTTTCCAATTTTTTACTTATTCGTATTCTTTTAATTTCTTCCTTTTCCAGTTTTTCATTTTTTCCCTTTTTTTTAATTTTATTTTCTTACTTTTTCAATTTTTAATTCCTTTACATTGATTTTTCTTCTATTCTTCATTTTTTAATTTTTAAAAATTTTTTAGTTTGATTTTATTTTACAAGATGTTAAAAATTTTTTTTTCAAGTATACGATCTTGTAATTTTAGAGGAAAGTTTTCTTTCAACAAAAAGTCTCTCTCCACCCCCCCCCCCAAAAAAAATTATTGCAAAAAGAAATTAATATTTGCAAATAATAAACAGAAAGCATTTTAATTACACTTTGAGAGATTATTATACACGCAATTTAATGAATATAGATAGAGATTGATTTTCAGTTTTAAATGATAGATTAGAATGGATTTGAAATTTCATTTTTTAATGGATTTTTAATGAACCAATGTAGTACTTTAATGGAGGGTAATATTTAATAGTTTAATTTACATCAACAACCAGCATAATTTGTTACGTTGATTAATGATACATGTGGAGGCAACTGGAAGGTACAATACACACGCATTTTACCAGCGAAGAGAGTTCAAATGTACTAAAAATAAATTTTTTAGTCTATAAAATAAAAATAAATCAACTAATAAATTGAAATTGCTTTAAATAAATAATTAACAAAAAAAGTAAAATTGAGGGTAGAAATAAATAAAAAGTGAACGAACAAAAAGTAAATAAATAAAATAAACGAAATAATCAAAATAAATATATAAAAAAAATAATAAACATATAAAGAATAAATAAACAAATTAAAAAAATATATAAAAAAAAAATTATTTGAAAAAATACATTTAGAAACAAATATTGACATTTTACACTGAAGAAAAATAAAATTATTTCCAGACTCATTGTTATAATAATCAAAATGAAGAATAATTAGTAAGCGAATTGTTTGCTTTATGAGAAGTGATATACACATATATGCAAATAATTTTCAGTTATAAAGCAGTTTTCCATTATACAAAGGGTTGGAAATTATTAATTAAATATGCATTATTATTTTCTCCACAAAAATTATTTCATATTTACCTGAAATTTTCATTTTTAGAAAAAGTCTGAAACCCAAAGGCAAAATTTGAGAGTAAAGGAAGTCGAATTCCTTTTGTTTAGTAAAACCCAGAACTTTTCCGTGACATTTTTCTGAAACTAAAAATCATATCGAGAAAAGAAGTGACGAAATGATAAAAGAACTATTTTTCATCACAGAAAAATGTCCATCACTTTCCCTGTTTGTTTTTTTTTAAATAAAGAAATAAAAAACGAAAAAAATGTCAATAAAAAATGTAAAAAAAAAGTTCGAAAAAAAATTTTTCTTAAAAAATTAGTTATTTTTTTAAAATTTTGGTTTTTAAAAGAAAAATATTCAAAACTTGGTATTTTTTATTATTAATTGTAATAATGAAAGAAAAATTACCTGGAACATTGGCATTTTAGAAGTCGAATAAAGGCAGCTCTGAAAGTCTTATTAAAGACTGTGTAGATTACTGGATTAATTGTAGATGATACATATCCTAACCAAAGGCATGTGACGACAACATGATTTGGCACTGAACAATGTGGACACGCTGCAAAAATGATATTTAGCACAAAAAATGGCGTCCAACATAATACGAATGTGAAGAACACCAGTCCCAATACTTTACTGGCTTTTTGCTCAGTGGCAACGGCATTCGCTGCCAGTGATCTTCTTTTCGTTCTTCCGGGCAGAAACCTTAAACAAATTACAACAATTTTTTTTTTTTGCAATCATTTTACATTTATGTCTAAAATTAAATTTAAAAGAAAAACTAATGTATTTTTATTTTGTGTATCCTGCGCACTAAAACTTAAACGAAAATAATTTAATATTTAATTTCTTCAACGAAATTAATTCTTACGTATTAAATTTCAATTTTTTTGCAACATAAAAAAATTAAATAAATAAACGAGATTTTTTGTCTGACAGAAACTGTTTTTTAATACTTAACATAAATATTATAAATAATTTTAGAAAGTTTGTCTGACTAAAATGTTTGTTAACTACTAATATTGGAAATATTGTGCTTCAATCCAAATTACAATAATTAGAAAGTTTTATGTCTGAATATAAATATCCTTTTTTACTGAAACGATAAAATAATGTATCAACAGTAGTTTCGTCTGACAGGAAAGGACTTTTACTACTGTGTAGAGAATAAAATTTTCTATTGACTAAACGCTTTTAACTTTCCACGTCGAAAAATTCCATGGAAGTATCCCCCTGGAAATTCCATGGAAATTCTGCAAGTTTTATATTTTAATATTATTTTAATATTTCTATTATGATTAGAGTCTAATAATAAGCTTTGTTGCAATTTTTTTGCAAAACTTCAATGAAATACGCATTTTGCAAAAAAAATTGCAACAAAGCTTATTATTAGATTCTAAAAATGATTACACACTCAAAAAACAGTTTTATTACATTTAATTACGAATTTTTTTAATTGTAAAATTATTCCAAAGGGAGCGTTCACAAATGATGTCACGTTTCTTGGGGAAGGGGAGGATCTCTACTAAACGTGACACAATGTATTTTTACATGGGAAATTGCATGAAATTGCGTGACAGGGGGGAGGTGGGGGTTTAAAATCCCAAAAAATTGCGTGACATCATTTTTGAACGCTCCCAAAACACCAAAAAATTCTTTTTTAAATAAATATTTAATCATTATTATTATTCCATAGAAATTAAGATTTTCAAAAAATTTCACATTCAAACCTTTATGAAATTCAACAAATTATAAGAATATCATTACAAAACATGAAAATATCGATCACTCCGAGTCGAAGACTCGGAGTTATCGGTGTCTTCATGTTTTGTAATAATTTAAATTTCCAGAAAATTTTTCAAAAATATATTAAACTATTTACAAAAATTTTAATAAAATCCGTTCCTAAGAATTAAATTATTTTTACAAGTAATAAAATTTTTCACATGAATTCAATTATTTTCATAAATAATAAAATTTTTCATAGGATTTCAAATACTTTTAATACAATTTTAAATAAATCCGTCAAAAAATGTAATTATTATCAAAAATTTTTTGCAAGAATTCAATTACATTTCAAAAATAATGAAATTCTTCGATGAAATTCAAATATTTTCAAAATCTACTATTTTAATAAAATTTCTTAAATGAATTCAATTATTTAAAAAAAAGGGAATAAAATGCATTGCAAGAATTCAATTATTTTCATAAATAATACAATTCTTGACAGGATTTCAATTATTTAAAAAAAATGTAATAAAATTTCTTTACAAGAATTCAATTGTTTTCCTAAATAATAAAATTCTTCACAGGATTTTAATTATTTTTAATTACAATTTTAAGTAAATTCTATGAAAAATGTAATTATTTTCAAAAATATTCATAATTCAATTATTTTTGATAATTCATGCTATATAATGCTTTTATTATTCAATTATTATGTAAAATTTTAACTGAAATTCATTTTTAAATCAATTTTTATTAGAAAATTCTACGAGAATTCAATTATTTAAATACAAATAAAATGCAAATAAATAATTTATTAAATAAATGAATGTTTTTTAAAATTAAATCCTCATAAAGAATTTTATCAACAAATTTTTAAATAATTCAATTATTTTTCGACGAATTTTAATAAAATCTTCAAGCATAATTACATTTTTCTAGGAATTCGATTAAAATTGTTTTAAAAATAATTGAAATTTTATCATAAGTTTTATTATTTATGAAAATAATTGAATCTCTGTTAAAAATTTTATTATTTTTGAAAATAATGTAATGTTTGCTTTAAAATTTATCAACACTTTTTTAAATAATTGAAATCTTTTGAAAAATTTTATTATAAAAGAGTAGACATTGAAAATAATTAAATTGATGAAATTGTTTGAAAATAATTGAAATTTTGACAAGAATTTGATTAAATTTTTGAAAATTCAATTTTTTACAGTACTTTAATAAAAATTCCTGACTTTTCCCTGATTTTTCTGACCTATGACAAAACTGGAAATGTTAAAATATTTCAGAAATAAAAAACTTTGATTCAAATAACCGATTACTTGACTATTATCAAAGAAAGATATTTAATTAAAAAATTTCCGAATAATCGAATTTTTGCAAAAATGTATTGTAAACAAATAGAAATGCAAATTCTCGAAGAACTTTTTCAAAAATTATTAAAAATAATTGATTTAAAGGAGAATTTTAGTTAAAAATACTATATAGAAAATAATAATTGCATTGAAATGATGAAAGAAATTTTGAAGAAGTTACACTAGCAATATTTTTATAATTATAAATTATGATTTTATCACTGGGTCATCTTTAATTATTATAAAACATAATTTTATGTTTTATGTTTATGTTTTCTTTATGTTTTATAATAAGAAAAAAATAATAAAAAATATTTTTATCGTATGTCTGACCAAATTTTCTCCCACTACTGACATTAAAATTACTGTTGCAAAATTCAGAAACGTTTGTCTGACTATAATCGACTTCTACTACTGGAAACGAAAGAATAAAAAATAATTGTATTTTTCTACTAATTTTGAGATTAACAAATACATTTCGCCTTATTACAATTTTTTTAAAACCGTGTTTTACTGCTTGGAAGATACCAACAATAATCATAAATATTTTGTCTGACCACAAATGACTTTTTCTACTAATTTTATCACAATTTGGCAAATTTTTGTCCGTCTATAACTGTCTCTTACCACTGGAAACAAAATAAGTAGTAAAGAAAACGAAGAGTCAGACAAAAAGTTTTTTTAAGTGAATAAAGTGATCGATTGTGTGAGAAACATTTTGTCTGATTGTAACTGCCTTTTTCCACTGAATCTGGAATTGAAAAATTAATGCATGTTTGGTCTGTCTATAACTGTTAGTTATTACTATTTCTAAACTTACATAAAAACACGTCTGTCTGAACAAATTCTGACTTTTTCTACTCACACCAGTGTTACAATATTTTACCAATTTTTCGTCTGACCAAAAATTGTTTTTACCACTGACACTGTAATTACAGGAATTTAATTATGTTTCCAAAAACAAAAAAAATATGTTGTCTGACTATTTCTTTCTTTTACTACTTGTATTCCGCAAGAGAATAATTTTGTCTCACTAAAATTCTCCCTTACTACCAAAATTAAAATTTATCTATTTTTTATTTTTATTATCAAAATTAATAATTACAATTTTTTTTCCTCAATTTTTTTATTTTAAGTTCTTTTTCCTCTATTTTGTTTTGTGTTTTAAATTTAATTTTCTAAGAACATTAATTGTTAAAAACTGAAATTCGTAAATAACAGAGTAAAAATAATTTTCGTTTTTTGGAAGAGGAGGAAAAATTCCGAGGACCAATAAATATTAATCAAAGGGAAAGTAAAAAATTGGAATAAATGAGTGATGTGGAAATAGATAGGCAGAAAAAAAAGGAAAGTGTCCTCTTTTGTTATGACGTCGAAGAGTGCATGTAACTCGAGTTTTAATTGGAAGAAGAAATTGACAAAAAAAGAAAGAAGCAATATCTGTTTTATTAAGCTACCTTTTTTTCAAGGAGCTTGGTGGTACTCGTGGATTCATTTCAATGAAATACAAATTGGTTTTCGAATCACGATGAATCTTTTCATGTGAAAATAACGCACTACTCTTATTAATTCTAAAAAAATAATGATTCGCTTATCAATTAATCATAAAAAGTGAATTTACACTTTATTAAAAATAATTTCAAACATTTTCCTCCTCCTAATAATTTTTATCTATTTAATTAATTTTCTTAGTAAGAACTTTTTTAATTTATTAAAAAAATTACAATTATTTTATTTCCTAATTTTTCTTATTAAATATAGCCTAAAGTGTTTCTTTCCCATTGAAAATATTCTAAATCTTTTAATTATTATTTGAAGCAAAAAATTTTCGAATCGTGAATTTGATAATTTTGCAAATAAAAAAATACTTCAAATTTGAAATATTCTAAACTTTTTACTCTTTATTTAAAAATATTCCCAAGTTTTAAGCACAGCTTTTTACTCTTTTCGACAATAGTTTCTCTACTTTCTATAAAACAATTTTTTCTTCCTTCTTTTTTTTATCTATGACCTCAAAAACTTAACACGAAATGTCGTCTAAATTCACCATGTCTCAAATTTTATATACTTTTACGATAAATCGTAAAAGCCAATCATTTTATTGCACATATTTCCCCATTTTTATATTTCCTTCTCTCTCACTATATATACATATAGTGAAATTTTCTTCCGTTCAAATAAATGACAAAACCAACTCATTCATCACTTTTTCAAATGTAAAATGCATATAATTTTTTCCGTTATGACATTTTATACTCAAAGAAAAAAAAATTGTTGTCAATCAATGGATTGCGTAACTGAATTAATTCTTCAATAGTAAAAAAAAATAGAAAGGGGAAAAAATTAGTTTTTTTCATTCATCACTATTCGAAAGAAGGGGATAATTAATCAAGAAGTACTGCAGTCTTTAATTATCTAAGGGCTATTTTTAGAAAGATCACAAATTAAATTTATTCTCCAAACTAGAAATGAAATAAATTTAGAAAATTCTAAATCTGCAAATCATTTCTACGCTATAGGAATATTGGATGATAAAAAGAGTTTTCGATTTATTCAGGAGAGTATAATTTGAACATCAATCATCTGTATCTACTATTTTCTTTTACAGTGATTGTT